ACGAGGGAAGGAGAGAAAAATAATGATAATCTCGTGAAATACCAACCGGCCGCCAACGGTTGCATTCCGATGCAGCCTCTCTTTCGTCGCCGTTTAAGCGTTGTTTCGAGACGGGCTTTAATCAATGTCAGAAGAATTCTGCGATGAAACTTTTATTCCGTGGGCAACATGTTCCTCAATCGCGATCGAGCGATCTTCGTAAACGAGAAATTAATCGTTATATTTTTGTCATATTAATTTCGTGCATGCGAAAAGATTAGAAATCGTATATAATCGTATATATATTTATGCTATGCCTTGATAAGGTATAGCGACAAACGTGGCATTATTCTTCTTTTGTTACTCAAATGCCTACTCGCATACGTTCGCGATTTTTAATCTCGATAAATTCTTCTTCTTAGATAATTTTTCTGCGTCACGCGAATGGGAGGTGCACCCACGATCAAATTCCATCCATCTGTGGAATCTGCATCACGCCAATAGATTTCGCAACGACAAAGATGATATTCTTAATGTCTTGTATTGCACTTCATGCATGGCTTGTATCTATCAGCCTTTCTGTATTGGATGTTGCACAGAGACAATCTCATTCCCAAGAAATTTCTTTAGTGAAAAAGTTATTAAGATGTTATTATTATAGAATTAGAATTTATATATACATATATATATATATATATATATATATATATATATATCATTGTATTGTTGTAACGTGTTATTCTAAACACGTTATTTGCGATAAATATCATCACATGCCTCGGTAGTCGAAAGGATAAGATGCCTGCCCGGTAAGCAGGAGATCCAGGTTCGATTCCTGAGGTGGATTTTTTCGCAAAATAATTACGAGTTTTCACGACTGGTTCGTGGTCGGGCCCCGCCGTGACGCACACCCTCCCTTCTTATTTGGGAGAGTGAGATGAGAGTGGTAGAAGAATTGAGGAATCGTGATAAGGCAGTTTCACCAAATCAATCGGCGGCTTGCCAGGTGGGAATGTTGGGGAATCGGGGGAGGCAGCTTCATCGAGTTAATCGGCGACTTGCCAAGTCAGTATGTAGAGAAATCAGGGAAGGCAGCTTCACCGAGTTAATTGGCGGCTTGCCCATTTGGAATGTTGAAGAGTTTTAAGAAAGCAATTATGTCAAGATCGCGAATCGAACAGCCAATCTACCGCGGGAAAGGAGTAATAAAAATGGATTTACTTTTGTCCCGTCCGTCAAAGCGTGAGGCGATGTGAAGAGAGAAGAAGAGAGCGATCCACTCCAAGTTGCGGTTTTTAAAGAGTTCCGAAGGGGTGGGAATATCTGAGGGCGTGATGGATTTCCGCGTTGGCGTGTCGAATGATAGTTTAGAAAAATTGTGAGTATAGAGGAAGGAGAGGAGCAGTATTCTGTGAATTGTGGTTGTTTTTATATTTCCAGATTTCCTAACGAATGATGGAATTAGTTAGTGAAAATTTTCCCGCCATTCCACACTCTAAATCATTCATTGGTGTGCCGGCCAACGGCCGCTAATCGTTTCTTCTTGATTGGCGTTTCCCTTAGTTTCCCCACCAATTTGGGGAGTATCACCCTCGAACGATCCGACGCATTTCTTA